AGAAAATATATTCATACACATTTAAAAGTATCCTTTTGTTTTATACTGTGTTTTTGATGTAGAAGACATACAATGTTTTGATAAACAAACCCTTTTCTCTCCTTTGAGTCTGGATTTGGAGGGCGTGTCGGGCTGGTGAGGTACAGAAGTGAGAGCACATCTCACCGAACTGCTGGATGGTGGGCAGAATGGTCACTTATCCAGAAAGGAGATAAAACCAGAACAGCGCAACAGCGTGAAGATTAGTGGGAACTGACTGAGAAAAGGAACTTCAGCTTAAACTTTTAAGCCCCCGTGTGAAATGAGAGCTCTTTCAATAGATGTGGAGTTTAAGTAGTTAAAAATTATTTTAGTAAAACAACATATGGTCATAGGAGTACACTGATAGGAGTACAGAGTCGGGACTGTACCGTGAAGCTTATTTGCTCATGTTATACGTTTGAAATCAGGGAAGCATAGAATTTCCTGGGAGGCTCTGTGAGTCCTGAGAAAAGGCAGCAAGTTGTCCGGTCCCGGGCACCTCTAACCTCGTGCTTTCCCTAATTTGCTTTTCTTTTTTATTTAACAATAGATGCTGTCTGTGCTACAGGTATGTTGTTAGGTTACCCTTAAAATATAAAGATTTTTAACCATTTACAATGAGAAACTTTGTCATTTATATTTTAAATGCTTTTATGGTATTTTAAACTTTTTCTTACCAAACGTACTCAGTCACCCCAAGATAAATTATTTTTATGATGTTTTGCTTATTTTTCTTTGTTTTACAATTATTCTGTGATTTCTGAAAAGAGCTCTTATGATGTAGAACCAAATAAAATTAATATTATTATAATTGCATAAAGGTTAGATGATTGTCTAAATTATTCTTTTATGAAATTGCATAGTATGTTTCTCTATTAAATATACTTGCAACAGTACTGTGAAAAAATCTGACCCAGCTTTGAGGGGTTTTGTTTTGCTTTGATTTGATTTTTATGGTGCTGGGGATTGAACCCAGGGCATTGCTCATGCTAAGCACATGCTCTACCACTAAGCTATATCCCCAGCACAACACTGAGAGTTTTTTGGGTTTTTTATTTGAGACTTTTTATTTTATTGCTAAAAGTATATTTTTTTATTTACAGCTGGTTTCAGGAGAAGTTTCCGCCTTAGCAGAAAAGATAAGAAAACAAATAAATCCATGTATGAATGCAAGAAGAGCGATCAATATGATACTGCTGACGTCCCCACATATGAAGAAGTGACACCGTACAGGCGACAAACTAATGAGAAATACAGACTTGGTGTCTTGGTTGGTAAGTGTACTTTGTCTGAAATTCTGAGGAAATAAGTGCAGTAGTAAGAATTTAACTTCGAAGTGCATAACAGTTGAAGCTGCAAATCCCTTGTCCTTGAACCCTCTTTGCTTAGTGTCTAAAATGAATCTATAGTGTTTTTGTGCTTGTGTATCGTTCAGAGACTGTCAAGATGCCTGTGAAAATGGCCCTGACGTATTGGAGGCCCTCTGTGGCAGAGCGTTGGCAGACATCACCCCCATCCGTGAACCATAGCAGGGCAACTAATTAAAAGACGTATTTTTTAATACAGCACACGTTTTTTCAGTTCATTTTGAGACAGCAGATATGGTACAAGCTTCCAGTGCATTTAGACCTTCAGCAGAATGGTCATCGCAAACTTCTAGGATATTTATTTCAAGCTGGAGAGTCGGTTAACAAAACTGCTTTAAAGTAGTTAATAAATGCATGTAGATAATTCCCCAAACATTGGTTTCTCTCACAGTAACATTCTAGCATTTACCTTGTCTGGCTTTCATGGATGTGAGGAGACACAAGCTTGCTTTCCTCTGCCCCACCCTCACTGTGCTATGAGAGGTGAGCCAGTGATTTTGGAAAAGCTTTGGAATAGAAAGAGCATGGCATCGCTTGTTAATTATTCCTCTTTGAACTCAAGTTGACAGTTGCGGGGATGGAATAAGTGGAAAAGCTAAGGAATTACCCCATCTTAGTGAGGAGGAGTCCTTTGGAAGGTTACAGTATGGGAATTCAAACAGATGGTGAGTGGCTGGTGAGAGGTGATGCTCTTTCTCACATCTCACTGGAAGTGATCATTAGCCTCATCAAATAGCAAAATTGTTTGCATAGTTTAGAAATACATATTCAAGAGTTCTACCTATTCTATCTTCCAGCAGATTTAGTGTTTCTTTTAATGTTTAGATCTTCGATCCATTTCGATTTTAGTTTAGTGCATGGTGAATGATATGGGTCTAGTTTTAATCTTTGGCATGTGGAAAACCAGTTTTTCCAGCATCGTTTATTAAAGAAGCTGTCTTTCTTCTGGTGAAGGTGTTTGGAGTTGTTTCTGAATCTAGTCTATTCCATTGACCCTCAGGTCTGTTTTCATGCCAGTACCACGCTATTTTTATCACAGTAGCTTTGTAGTATAATTTCCAGTCAGGGATTGTGATGCCTTGCCTTTGCCCTGCCTTGCCTTTGTTGCCCAGAATTACTTTTGCTATTCTAGGTCTCTTCTGGTTCGAAATGAATTTTAGGATTGTTTTCTCTAGTTCTGTGAGATATGCTATTGATATTTTGATTAGGATTCTGTTAAATCAAAGACTTTATGAACAAAACCCCAATCACACAGGAAGTGTCACAAAGCATCAATAACTAGGATCTCATCTTATTAAAAAGCTTTTGCGGGTCAGGGATTTAGCTCAGTGGTGCCGCCACCTGCCTCACAAGCACAAGGTCCTGAGTTTGATCTCCAGTACCAAAAAAAAAAAAAAAAGGCTTTTGCACAGCAAAAGAAACCACCAACAGAGTGAAGAGACAACCCACAGTGTGGGAAAAAATTTTTTCCAGCTGTTCCTTAAAGGACTAATATCTAGTACACATAAGGAACTCAAAAAAATTGGACCCCCCCCAAATTTAAAGACCCAATCCAAAAGTGGACATCTGAAATGAATAGATACTTCTCAGATGAAGAAGTAGAAATAGCAAATAAATATATGAAAAGATGTTCAATATCACTGGTCATTTGAACGATGAAAATTAAAACAACACTGAGATTTCATCTCACTACAGAAAGAATGGCTGTTATCAAAAATATCAACAAATAACAAATGCTGGCAGGACTGTGAGGAAAGAATAACCCTTCTCCACTGTTGGTGGGGGTGTAGACTGGTGAAACCACTGTGGAAATCTGTGTGGAGATTCCTCAAAAAACTAAAACTAGAGGTTCCATTCGACCTAGCTATTCCCTTTCTTGGCATCTTCCCAAAAGAATTAAAAGCATCATACCACAGCAATACATGCACACCTGTGTTTATAGTGGCACAGTTTGTTTGATAGCTAAATCTTGGAAACAGCCCAAATGCCCATCAACCAAGGAATGGATAAAGAAGATGTGGTCTTTTTGTACAATGGAGTACTACTCTGCCATGATGAAAGATAAGCTTGAGACATTTCTAGCTAAATGGATGAATCTTGAGACCATATTCTGAAGTGTGATAAATCGGACACACATGTTTAAATACCATATTGTTTCTCTGGTGTGAGAAACTAAAAGTGTAAATAAAGACCAAAATGTATAATAGATATTGGGAAATGGGAAGAAAATGTTCAGATGAGAAGGGGAACAAGGAAGAGGGGAGGGGGAAAGGAAGGGAGGGACAAGAAAAAAAGTAAGAATGGAAGGAAAAAATGGAAACAAAGCTTTTGTAAATAAGGAGGGAAAGGGGGATTGAAGGAGGGGAGGGAAAGGGGAAAAGAAGAAGAAGCAAAGCTATATCCTGTACAGGTATGAATTCCCTATGATGAATGGGATTATTATGTATATCTGAAATGTACCAGTAGCTGTTTTGCTTCAAAAAAAAAAAAAAAAGGAAAAAGAAGGGGAAAAAAACTCAAATAAAAAGAAATACACATTCATACACTTCAGAGGAAAATCAAAACCTCCCTTTTCAGCAGTGTTCCTATCTCATCCATGTGTAGTGAACCTCCTTAAGTCATACCTAGAAGAATACTTCCCTATGTGTTTTTATTTACTTACTTCCTTATTTATTTTGGTTTTCTGAGACAGGGTCTCACTGTGTGGCCCAAACTGGCCTCAATTTGTGGCAATCCTCCTGCCTCAGCCTCCTGAGTGCTGAGTTTATAGACATGTGCCACCATGCCTGGTGGTGCTTGTGTTTATGGAGGGCTCACACTGCCCAGTTTCCAGTTCCAGTGGAGCCATGCTAATGACAGTATAAGCATTCCTCTTCTCCCAGAGCCTGGTGGTTTTGGCTAAATCCTGCGTTCCCTCATTGTGCTACTTGAGATCTGTCTGTCTACCAGCCCATCGTCCCTACCGTGCCTCCCCCTTCATAGCTCTGCTCTCAACAGTCTCTTCCCTTCTCATTGCGTCTCTCCCAAAGCCACACCCCTGGAGACCCCCACCTCCTAATAATTCAGCTGTGAACTCACCGTGAATTCATCCATTGATGAGGTCCATGCCCTCATGATCCCATCACCTTCCAAAAGTCCCACGTCTGACCCCATGAGCTTTTGGGAGGACATTTTATACATAAACCATAATATTCCAACCTGTCCCCTAAAGGCTCATTACCATCTCATTAGGAAAAAGCATTCAGTCCATTTGAGTTGCTAAAATGTCAGCAATTCCAGCATTTCTCAAAGTCCGAGATCAGAGTCTCTTCAGATACTCAAGGGAGACTCTGAACCCTTAAACCTCTGTAAAACTCAAGTAGCAAGTTGCATACTCACAACGTACACAGGCACAAGGTAAGCATTTCCATTCTCAGAGGGAAGAATAAGGACAAGAAAGTTGTAGGAACAAACAAAATTTAAACCCCGCAGGGCAAACATTAAATCCTGTAGCTCCATGTACAGCATCTAGGGTACATGCTCCAGAGGCCTTGGGCAGCACTGCCTCTTGCTTTGCTGGTTGCTCCCCCACATGATCCATGATCACTGTCTTGGGCTGGCTCTGTTCACTGTCTGCAGCTTTCCTTGACAGATGTTCCATGTTTCTGGCATAGTTGGCTTCCTGGGGTTTTCATTGAAGCTTTGGCTTCACTCCCATAGCTTCACACATTAACCTCTCAGGGACTTCTGGCAGGGATTCTGAGCCTGTCACACATTGCTTGACCTCCAATGCCTTGCTTTAAAATCTGAGTAGAAACCCCTATGACCCTACATGTTAGTTACTTTTCTTGTTGCTGAGACAAAATACCTGACACCCAAAGTAAAGAGAGGAAAGGTTTATTTAGCTCCCCTTTAGTTACTTTTCTTGTTGCTGAGACAAAATACCTGACACCCAAAGTTGAAAGGGAAAAGGTTTATTTAGCTCACAGTTTGTAGAGGTTTCAGTCAGTTCATAATCGGCTGGCTCCAAGGCAGGGTGGCACATGGCAGAGGGGCAACAGTTCATGGCAGCGGGAGACAGCAAAAGCAACAAGAGACCTAGCAGTGTCTTTTTGCCCCTTTTATCTTATCCAGACTACATAGGGTGGGCAGCACTCACACCCTTAATCCTAGTGCCCTTGAGCCTAACATTGTACCACGAATCAATCCCAGCATCATACACTCTAGATCAAGCCACCTCTGAAAAAGCCTATGACCACATGAGGCTTTGGGGGGACATCTAGACACAAACCATAACACCCTACAATTCTTGTATCTCATATGCCTGCAAAACCAGCATCACATGGATGATGCCAAGGTCTACCACCAGCTCAAGAAGTAGCTTGGCCCCCTTGGACCATGGCTGCAGTGGCTCTGAATGCTTAAATGGCTGAGTATTGTTGTATGAATACCAGGGAATCAGTTCCCCAGGTGGCCCTTCTTGAGTGGAGGCTAAGGGACTTTGTTCTCAAATGAAGAACCCTTGAGCCTGCACTAGATGAAGTCTTGCTGATTTCAGAGATGCTGTCAAGGTTTCTTCTTGTCCCAGTGTGAAGTAGTTGGTTACTTTGTAATGGTTATAATCACTTCACTCTCCACCTTCTTTAGCCCTGACTTTACATGTGCTTCATTTCTGGCCAAACTTTAAGTTTTTCAAATATTTCTTATTTTTCCTTTGTTCCCAATTCTCTAAATCTAGGTAAAAGCAGCCAGCAGTACCCATGCCACAGGCTGAACATTGGCCTGCCTTGAAATTTCCTCTGCCAGATCGATTAGTTCCTCACCTTTAAGCTCACCTCCCACAAAGACTCAGTACATGGACAAAATGTGGAGAAGTTCCTTGCCAGAATGTGATTCAAATGGCCTCTAGTCCAATTTTAGTAGAGTTC